TGAGGAGTAAGTTCAATGGATGAAATTGCTGAAGTCTTACTTCTTGGGGAAGTTGATTTGCGCATGAACATCGAATACAGCATGGAATAGAAGTCATATCTATACCTTAACTTTATCGACTTTGAAAAGGTCTTTGACAGTGTGAACTATGAAGTAATGGAGAAGCTGCTTCTACTCTACGGAGCGCACAGTTACAAAACTTTATTAACCTCATTAGACAGCTGTATGTTCCACAACGAAAAACTCAGTGAAGCCGCAGAAGTGAATAGAGGAGTAAGACAAGGCTGCCGGCCTACTATCACTAATGATCGTTTTGATTCTGGGTGAACTACATGGTGCTCAGAATGTGAGGAGCTAGAAGAAAGGAATACGTTAAACCGACAAGAAGACTTCAGAAGAACTGGACTTTGTGGATGTCTAATTTTACACAAACTTGAATATCTAAAGACGGCAATAGTAAAAAATCGACACTAAAATCAAATGACCTTGAATTAGCCAATCAGATCGCTACTCAGCATTACAAGTGGATGCTTTTAATACTCTTCGTCATAAGTTTTATCCTGATTCAGGGTTAAGGTTAAGGTGAAACTTGCTGAGAAGACTATGAAAAGCATTCATTTGTAATGCTGAGCAGCGATATGATTGGTTGACTCAAGGTCATTCGACTGTGGTTTCAATTCTTTACTGTTGCTCTACAGACAAAAGCCAACAAGTTGGCAAAAGAAGCAGATAGCCAAGGTGGAACTTCAAAGGAACATAGAAAGGTCGGAGGTAATGACGATATCCACCGGTCAGTATCAACAACAATAGGCACGTTTCACCATCATGGGGAGAAATCTAAAATAAGTTAATTCTTGCAGTCATCTCAGTGGAACTGATTGTTTCAACTGCAGGTGGCTACACCGATGAGAATATCAAGGTGAATTAGGGTTGGAAAGAAATTCACTGGGAGTACTGAACTGAAAGCTGTTTCGTCAGTCTAGTTTGAGACTCATCGGCAGTACGCACCCACCACCAGCGCTCGAACCCAGGACCCTCCGTTTACAAAGCAAGTTCGTAGACCATTACTCAGCCACTGGGACCCGACTCAATGACCCATGAAACCCAGTGGGTGAGTACTGATGATGAGTCCCAAACTAAGGGGATGGAACAGCTGTCCGGCAGTACTCCCAGCTGGTTTTCAATGGTTATTCTCTAACTGATATCAATCAATCCGTGGTCAAACTTGAGAAACAAATCACATCCCCACAGATCAACTCTTGAAAAATTTTCATTTCCTTTTATCAAAAGAAGGTTGTTTAGAAAAAGCCTCATTCCTTCTCTCCCCCTGTTTTTCTCTCTGATATTTTTATATGTTTTGAACACTCAGTAGTTTTCACAGTTGGTGTTTTTGTTGTGTACTTATATACCCCTATATGTTTGTGTATTTGTCATATTTTTAAGACAAAAAACAAAGATTTTTCCGGCTAGTTATTTATCCTCACAGAAAGGAAATACTTCAACGTTGATTTCATTCACCTGTTGCCACCTCCTGCTATGATGATTTCATTGTATATATATATTATATTCAGAAAATATTTTTTTAACATGGTTTACTCACCTCCCCCCTTCCCCTCCACATTTCCCTGTTTTCTTGACTTGTTTACCCTAACACCATCTCAGAATGTGTGTGTGTTTGTGTGTATTTAATTGTTTCTCAATTATTTCCTCAGTGGATATGAAGAAAGTGATATTATTGAACAGAATATGGTGGAGAAGATTTGTAGCTCAGGTGGATGATTTTGATGTGGTTATGTTCTCTGAGTTAGCTGGATAGTTAATTTGCAAAGCTTTCATTGCCCTACTAGGCAACATCTTCAACGCATACACTTCAATTTGAATTGAAGTGAGCTTCTAGATTTCTCCACGAGTTTATCAGTCATGTCTCCTGGTGGGTGACCTTGAACGTGACTCTTTGGTTGCTTTTGTATGTTTTCACACACACCTAGGCTACTAGTATTTTTACTGATTGTTTCCTTGACCTGAAGTGTGACCCTTTGTATGTGTGAGATTTCCTTCTTATCGATTGGTAAATTTTGTCTATGTCGATGTGTCTATTGATTGACGATTCACTGGAATACCAGGCAGCCCTTTAAAAATTCTCTAGCATTCTTGGTGTTTCCTCTGTCTAATATTTGAACGCTGGTTGTGCCAGTCGAATTGATGTCGGTGGTTGTATGTATGCAGCGAGTGATATAAGGGATTGGATGTCATATCTTTAGACGGCTATATGAAGAAGACGAAGCGGACGTCGTCTACTTTGGCCAATGTAGTGTTTTTCGCAGTCATTGCAACTTATTTTGTAGATGATTTTGGTTTTATTTTCTTTCGCTGTTGATTCTTTTGGTTGACACAGAGTTGAGTGGAGTAATTTTGTTGGTTTGTGTGCGACATCAATTCCTAAAGGTTTGAAGAGTCTTGCAGTGATTTCTGAGATGATGTCTTTTATATATGGTAGGGCGATTTTCTTTGTGCTTTCTTTGGGTGCCTTTGATTTGTTAGCTGGGTTGAGGGTGAATTTCTTTTGACGAATTTCTGTGGAAATCCATCCATTCTTATGGAAGACGTCCATGAAATATCTTTCTACAATTTTCCTTAAGGGGGGAGTGCTGTGGTGAGTCCTGGCTGGCCCTCTTGAATAGTGTTTATATACAACTCCTTTTGTGTGTTATTGGATTGTTGCTCTTGTAATTCAGTAACAGTCCATAAGCACACAAAAGGAATCGTATAAAAACACTATTCAAGAGGGCATGGACTCACTGCAGCACTCCTTCCTTAAGGAAAATTGTACACTATTCAGCCACTGGGACGCGAATCAATATCTAGCCCATGAATTCTAACTTCTACCGATTCGTGATTTTAGCGTGACTTCTAGCCAGTGTTAACTTCGGGGAGAATTTTCCCTCACCACAGACCGAGTGGATCCCATTGGTCACTACTTCTCACTAGAACTCCAGACAACTTTGTCCTGCGGCCAGTAGTCATTAGTGAGCATCAGATTAATTTTCTTGAAGAGTTGATCTGTAGGGATTTAATCTGTTTTTCAAATTTGATCACAGATTGATATCAGTTAGGGAACTATTGGCCAAGTTTGGTACTCTTCAGCAATACTCACCCACCACTGGGGTTCGATTCTGGGACCTTCCGGTTACAAGTCAAGCTTGTAGACTATTCTGCCACTGGGAACTGATTCAGTAGCCGACCCATGAATTCCAACTTCTACCGATTCGTGACATGAGATTAACTGATGCGCTAAGAATCTGGTTTTGACATCAACGATAGTCTTAACTAACAAAATAACCACGCATGTTACTGTATATAAAGCTCAGGCTTTTAATTCCAATATACATTTGCCATTAACTGACATCATTTTGAAAATGAGTGAAAACCCGGGATCACTAAACACTTGTTTCTGCCTAGTTTGGGACTCTTCATCAAATCACATCCATAAACGTCTAATGCGAAATTGTGACTGCTTAGGTTCGTCATATCAGGGTAAAGTGACTATCTATTGATCGCATTGTTTAGTGGCAGCCTTAAATTGTAAATTCACAGAAGCTAAAATTCATGGGTCGTTGAGTGGTCAATGGGGCGACCTTATAACCTGAAGCTCCTAGCCTTGACGTCAAGTGGTTGAGATCGTGGGTGCCCGCTGTTTAGGAGCCTTTATATAACTAGGATGAAACAGCTGTGTCCAGTGCTTCCTGGAGTTTTTTGTGATTTCCTTAACTAATACATTGCTTAGTGAGGAAGTCTATTATTATTATTGTTCCCTTGGGTTCGTAGTGGAACATAGGGCTTCAACTGCACGTCTCCACTTGCTTCTGTCTTCTGCTGTACTTTTCACCTGCATCCAGGTTAGTCCATACTGTTTCAACTCATCTTCAAACCATCTCCTCCATGTCACATTTGGACGTCCCACTCGCGGCTTCACTTTCGAGTTCCACTCGAGCACTGGCCTGACTGACGTGTGGTGTCACCCCAGCGGCCTCCTCAGCGAGTGTCCAATCCATCTCCACTTCTTTCTCCTGCATTTTTGTTTAGCGATTGGTTCTTGTTTTGTTTGCTCCCATAGTTTCTTGTTGGTGATTCTTTCCGGCGGCCATCTGATCTTCAGTATAGAGCGAAGACAGTTGTTGATAATGGTCTGCAACAGGCTGTTGGAAATATTCTTTGTGACACATTGGCCAAGTTTCTGATCCGTATAGAAGAACTGACTGACTTGATGTTTGTATTGAAAATCCGAATCACTTTGTTGTTGATGTTAAGTTGAGTGACGAAGATTTCCAGATTGGTTTCAGGTTGATGAATGTGTTTCTTGCCTTCACGATTCTCGATTTGACATCTTCGTCCGTTCCTCGTGTAGTTGAGACAATGCTCCCTAGATAAGTGAATGAAGGGAGTCTACAAACTAAAATTAATTCAGCCCCCCCTCACACAAAATACCTTAGTTATTCACCTCATTAGTAGTTTCTGGACAGATATCCTGAGTTTGGAATTAAAGGTCATATTCAGTGAAGACTACCACCCTTCGTATCAAGAGGATGTACACCGATGCCATTGGTCAGTGATCACATCCAACTCACTAGCTGTATGACATTAGACATAAATCCTTTTCGAAGTTCAGTCCTTCTACAGTCGTTCTATTCATCCAACATATATATATATATATATACCTGTCATCTTGCTTCCCACTGTCTGTTTCATGATCCAGACCACAGTAATCAGGGATATCATTGATGATGGTAGGCAGAGAGCCTTGTCTTACCCCTCTCTTCACTGAGTTTTCCAATATAAGTCCTGATTCAAAAGTGTATGAAGAATAATGGATTTTTCACTTATTCAGGTTTCAGATGACATTAAACTACTCACAACAAATACAGTAGTATTATACGGTTCTGTAAATAAAATGTTGCACATATATCTGTATATTAAATAATATTGTGATAATCAATACTTACCTAATTTCTTATATCTTGGATTATGCAAATCAATTGGTACACTGTCTTTAAACCATGTGATGATTGGAGGAGGTTCACCAGTCGCTCGACATTCCAACTCGACTTCAGCATTTTTACGTGCAACAATCACAGAGAAAGAATTTAAAAATCGTGGATAACCAGGTGGGGCAGCTAAAAGGAGAGAAGAAATTGGAAGGAAATGGAAAAAAATCGATTTTAATAGTGGGAAACGGAGTCAGTGTTTAAAGAGTTAAAATTGAATTATATATATACACATATTATACTGTTATTCAGGTCTTCTTGGAAGGGGGAAGGGTAGGGAGACAATCCTACTGACATTATGCGAAGGTTGATTCAGCACAGAGAACTGAATCAACTTTCCAACTAACATTTCAAGAGTTAGTTCATAGCGGTTTAATTTACCTCAGGTTTGATGACGGATTGATACAAGTTAGAGAACGACTGAAAACCAACTGGGTGTACTGGACAGTTGTTTCATCGGAACTTCGAGACTTTTTAGTGGTGCTCACCCACGACCACATCAAGGATCAGGTTGCAGGACTAAGCTCATTGTCAGCCATTTTGTCAGGGATTCACTGACCCGTGAGTTCTAACTCCAGTTATTATTATTGTTTCCTTTAATTCCTAGAGGAACATAAGGCTTCAGCCGTGCGTCTCCAATGCGTTCGGTTCTCTGCTAGAGTCTTCACCTGGCTCCAAGTCTGCCCACATGCTTTCATCTCCTCTTCACATGACCTCCTCCAAGTCACCCCACCCTTGCACTGACGACCAACTCGCCGCTTCCCTTTTGGGTTCCATACGAGCAGTGGCTTGTCTAGTGATGTCACTTGATGTTTTCCTCAGAGTATGAACAATCCATCTCCATTTCTTCCTGCCTAATCCTTTCACAATCGGTTCCTGATTGATTCACTCCCAGGGATCTCTGCTGCTGATCCTTTCTGGCCAGCCATCTGATCTTGAGTATTGAGCGAAGACAACTGGCTGTTAATGAAGGTCTGTAGTTTGTTTGAGATGCTCTTTATGACGCGCAGTGCAAGTCTCTGATCCTTATAGTAGCACTGACTGACTTGACATTGGAGTTGAAAATCCGGATCTTATTTTTGATGCTGAGTGCTGTTGACCTCCACACAGACTTGAGAGTAGTGAAAGTTTGTCTTGCTTTTCCGATTCCTGCTTGGATATCCTCGTCAGTTCCGCCTGTAGTTGAGACGATGCTTCCTAGGTAGGTAAAAGAGGTTGTTTCTTTCAGGTTCCTCCCATTTGTGCTGATTGTTGTCTGTTGTTGCTGTTCTTGTCCAGGAATCTTCATCACCTCTGTTCTATGTTCACCTGAAGTCTTATCTTTGATGCTTCTTCTGCCAACTTTTTGCTTTTCGCTTGCATATCTTCCAGTTTGTGGGAAATCAGACATATTTCACATCGGAAAACTCCAAATCATCGAAGTTTTGTGTGAGTTCATTTTATGCCTGTTTCCTCATTGCCCACTGTTTGTCGCATTATCCAGTCTACTGCAATCAGGAAAATCATTGGCGATAGTAGGCAGCCAGCTTGTCTTACTCTCGTCTTCACTTCGAAGGATTCTGTGAGTTTCCCGTTGTGGGTTAATTGACATGCAGCATTGTCATACAGCTGTTGGACGAGGTGTATAATTGTCGGTGGCATCCCATAGTAGTGAAGTAGTTGCCAAATCACCTCTCGATCGACGCTGTCGAAGGCGTTTTCAAAGTCGATGAAGCTGAGATAGAGAGGTGACTGCTATTACAAACTTTGTTCGGTTAATTCGTGATATATAGCTCTACTGCCAGCTCATGTCATCGACGGGTATTTGTTCTCATTTCCAAGCTAGTGAAGCACAGTGGTTACGAATTCTCTCTGGAGATCCGGTAAACTTCATGCTGTAGTCAGTCACTAGTGATTATAATACATTTTTATTATTTTTCCCCTTGGGAAACGAGTGGAATACGGGCCTTCAGCAGTATACCTCCACTTTATCCTGTTATCTGTGGTCCTTTTTAGCTGTCACATATTCGCCCATAATCTCTCATCGCCTTCTACCAATACGATCTCCTTAATACCATCCTGGAAGTGATGCCCAACTCGTAGTTTCCCATTCGGGTTCCACAAGAGCAATGGCTTGTCAAGCGATGTAATTCGACTGACTCCTCAGTGTTTATCCAGTTCACCTCAATTTTCTATTTGTTCAACGATAGGTTCTCAGCTGTTTCTTTGTGTCAGAGTTTCTTGTTGCCAATTCTTTCTAACCATCCGGCCATTCGATCTACAGTATGGAGCCAGAGAAGGCAGCTGTTGATAAAAGTCTGCAACCTGTTGTAAATGTTTGTAGTGATGCACCAATTTTCTGACCCATAAAGAAGAACTGACTGACCTAAAATTTGCGTTGAAAATCCGAATCTTGTTCTTTATGTGAGTTTAGCAGGATTTCAAACTGATTTCAAAGTGTTGAAGGTGCACCCTGCCTTTCTGATTCTGACTGGCTGCCTTTGACATCTTCATCCGTTCCGACTCCCCGTAATTGAAACAATGCTTGTTGGCTAGATAGATGAAGGAAGTGACCTTTTTCATTTTTTTTCCGCTAATAGTGATTGATGCTGGTTGTTGTTGTTCCCGCTGCTGTTGGTGGTGGTTGGTTATCTTCATCACCTCCGCCTTCTTTAGTCATTAGTGAACATAAAGTTAATATTCAAGAGGTACTTTGTAGGGACTGGATTTGAGCTAACGAACTATTGAATAGGACAAGTATACAATAAGATCGAGCATATGCCACGAAAGGGATTTCCAACAGCCTACTGCAAACTTTTATCAACAGCTGCCCACTTCACTGGCTGGCTTCATGCTGAAGATCAAAGACCGGCCGGCTTGCTGGCCAGAAAGAATTAGCAACAAGAAACTGTGCAGTGGAACAAATCAACAGGTGAGAACCGATTTCTCAGCAAGTATGTAGGGGAAAATGGAGATGGACTGGGGATGCACGCCACTGAGAAGGCCGCCGAATGACATCGCGCGCAATGCAGGTCATCACTCGAGTGGAATCCGAATGGGAAGCGACGAGTGGTTTGTCGGTGTGAGGGTGACATGTAGGAGATCGTGTGGTGATGAGAAGGAGGATGAGGATATGAGAGATTATGGGCAGTAATCATCAAGCCAACCAGCTGAAGAATACATCAGAGAATAGAACAAAGTGTAGATGTGTTGTTGAAGGTCTTTATTCCTTTTGGAACCCAGGGGAACAACAATAATGATATGCCAAAATACACACAATCCATTTGGAAACCTCAGTCTTTTATCATATATATATATATATATATATATATGTATATCAGACCACTTGTGTTACAATTATAAACAGACTGTTTTAAATTCAAATTGTTACAAAGTCCCACTACAGGTGGAGTGGATTTGCTAACCGCCCACCTACACAACTTTCCTCCATCCTTCTATGGGACTGAGACCTAAGAATTCATAGGCCATTGGATTTTGTCCGAGTGCTTGAATGGGTCTACAAACTCGCTTTTCTAACTAAAAAGTCCTTGGTTCGAATCCCTGTGGGTACGTACTACTACTACTACCAAAGAGTCCTGAATTAGGATGAAACAACCTTGTCCAATACTCTCTGAAAGGTTTTCCTAATACTCCTCTAACTGAAACCAGTTAGCTTATGACCAAACCTTTAACCAAACAAATTTCTAATAAACACCTGAAAGTTTTAGAAACACGTTTAAATTCAATCAAAACACTTCAGTAGCGCAGTTAAACAAAACTATACGCATATGTTCAATTGTCAATAGCCAATTCAAAAAGGATATCATATTTTAATGGTTACTTCATAAACAATTACAGGTGTTGGTCCGGGGAGGAGGAGGGTGATTGGTGAGAGGAATAAAATAACACAACATTCACCGCCCCCTCCCCGGATTTTTTAAAGTTTTTTACTCTCTAAGGAGGAATTTTTATTTTCCCTATCTGCCCAAAAACTTGAGGAATATGATGTGATTATTCTTTTCAGAAGGTCCACAAATAAAGTGTGTACTTCAGTGAATTGAACCTCTCTCCCTCCCGCGAATCTGACACCCACACAAAGAAGAAACAACACTTTGGAGTTGAGGTGTTTCAAAATGAAGAAAGTAAGATCTTTCTTTCTGTAGTTCCGGAAAAAACACTTCTTGGAAAATGCGAGGGCGGGGCCGGGTGGTGTGAGCTCCTGGAAACTTTGCAAAAACAAAACCGATTTTTAGCGAGTCACTCGATTTTCTTTCATAGAATAATAAATTCTAACGACAATGAAATGAAAGACGAGAAAGATTGATTTTAGCTGAAGAGACAACCATTGATGAAGATCCACACAGAGTACTGGCCAAAACTGTTTCATCCTAGTTTGGTAGACTTTAGTGATAAGCACCCATTGGGTTTCAAGCCAAGGGTCTTCAGGTGACAAGGTCAACTTTGTTGATCATTCAGCCAATTGGGCCGGAATCCAATGATCTGTGAATTCTAAATCCTGTTAGTTCAGGTTATGTAAAGTCATTGCTAGCCAGTGTCATCGTCGGAGAGTATTTTACCTCTCACCTGAGTAATTGGTGCATCTCAACGTTTACGACTGGTTCTCATTAAAACTCACTCCAGGCAACTGTGTTCTGCAGTCAGTCACCACAGATGAACATCAGATTAATTTTTATGTTTGTTTCAATTTTGATCACGTATTGATATCAGTTAGGAAAGAAACTGTTGAAAACGAGCAGAGAGTACTGAACGGAATTGTTTCGCCCCCTAGATCGTGACTCTTCATCAGTGCACATCCGTGATTCAAACCACTAGAGATCAAATTTATGACCTACAGGTTCCGAGTTCAAACTCGTAGACAACTCATCATTCACTTGGGCAGGAGTTCAGTCATCCATAGATTCTGATTTCAATCACTTCATCATGTTTAAGTTTCACTACCAAATAATTCAATATCAGTAGTATTTGTCTTCATACCCGACCTACTCAACCACAATGGTCATGGCTTTTCACTATGACTAGTACTAGTGAGCATCCGACTAATTGTCAAGCTTAAGTTAGTTAGTGGGGATCTGATCTGTTCCAAGTTTGACAGGACCACTGATATTTTTAATAGGGAGTACTGGACACAG